TCCCACAATAAACTTATCCTGATATAGTACTATCATCTACCCCCAATTATACCCATGTGACATAAAAACAATTTAAAGACCTCAGTAGACACTGGTATATTTTAGCATTACCTAAAGTCTGTCTAAAGGTGGCCATACACCTTACAATCATTGCACGACTTTTGTTGTGTGATGGTTGTAAGGTGATTCAAATTTCGTACGACCTGCCCATCTTGGACAGGCAGATTGTACTTGCGATCATCGCAAGTTCTCCCCGCTGAGGGCAGGGCTTGCAGATGATTGTAATGTTGAGCGTGCAGTGTGCGCTTACGCACCTCGGCCCGTGCAGCTTTCATCTTGCGATCGCGCTACCAACCCGCCGAAAATCATACAATTTTCAGCGGGTTTTCTAGCGTGCTCGTAAGAAGAAAGTCGTGCAACCGTACAGTAAATGCGGTTGCACGCTGCCCATACACCTTACGATTATCGTACGATCGCGGGATCACCTGCGATTATCCTACGATAATCGTCAGGGCAGCTTAAACCTTCAAGAAAGTTCCCATACAAGTACTAATCTCTACAAACTGAGTATGAGTAACTAGGACAGGTGCCATATCTCTCATTTCAGCTGTGCATACTGTATGGATCTATAATCCTTCCAAATGTGAAATCGTATCAAGTCTCATGTAAGGTAATCGGACTACAGAATAAACGCCTTGGAGATAGCCCATTCCTCCTTGAAGTATGGGAATGTATGAGTATGGCAAAGTATGGGATGAACCATAGGCACCTTCATACACTGCACCATCACCTTCATCTGCTGTTAAAGCACCCAACTTCACCCTTTGATAGGCTTCAAATTAATATTTTCATCCCAAATTGGTTAGATACATTTAAAAAGCTTACCTTTTCTGTAAACCCTAACATCGCATTTCGCTCCCTTTTAAACTGTTAAATGTATAATTGTATAAGTACCAAAAAAATAGCTGTTGATCCTGCCAGACATCCTGTGAGCTTATAACTTCCTCTGCTTTCTGCTTCTACTGAATGTTATCAGTAAGCATCGATTCCAGTTCTTTCTGTGGACAATAAAATGCTTCACCCTGTTATGGAGAAGAGGAGAGGGGCGGTGTTTGTAGTCCTGTTGTAAAGTGACAATGCTGCTTTTCCCTAGATACAGTACAGTGAGTGAACGTTGTCACACTGAGACAGGAAGTGTGTTTCTAGCAGGATCACCAAGTGATCTAGCAGAACTCTGGGCAGAATTTTTCTTAACATTTGCAGTAGCGTTACCCCCACACTGCAAGGGTTAAGTGCTCGTCGTTGTCTAGGTGCTCCAAAAAAAAAAAAAAGCTATACTCATATGATCCCAGGAGCTGGCACGCTCTTAGACCGGTCCCTTCCGCCTCTCTCCCCCTCCTCTGCAGCGGTCTAAAGTCCCGTAAATCATCACGCTCCATACACAGGAACACTCCAATGCTGCAGCATAGGAAGACAGGCTTCAGTGACCGGAGAAGCAGGGAGCTGGCTCAGTATAACTTTTTTTTTTAGCACCTAGATAAAAACGAGCACTTAACCCTTACAGTGCGGAGGGGGGGGGGGGTAGTCTCACTGCAAGGGTTAACAACACTTTTGCCTGGAGTTTTTAAAAAAGGAATGCAGCCACCATACCTAAGCACTGGTAAGCTACAATATGTTACATCTTTGTTCTTGGGTATAGATACACTTTAAACTGGAAAAAAAACAAGAATCATTTCTCTAAATCTTTTGTTGTTGTTGTTATATTGGTTTATAATACTTTCACAGGGGTTGCAAAAGATCTCTTGAAAATGTTCAGTGAAACAAATGAACTTTAATCAGCACTTCACAGATGAATCATATGCTATGCAATGCCAATGAATGAGAGAGTTTTGTATACGCTTGGATTATGTGTTATTAGTAGCAGGACTCCACTGGGCAGCCAAACAAAATTCCTTTGTACTCATGCTTTGGCTAACTATGGAATTTCCTACTACGGGGTCACTTGACTCCCTGTGGTTTCTCAACTGAGCGAGGACTGTGTGCGAGTATTTAGACAGCTCCACAGCTCCGCTGTCTCTTCTCAGGGTGACACTTTCACATTTTCGATTTCATAATAGAGAATTCATTTCAGTCTCGAGGTTAACTGGAGTTTAAAACAAGCTCATGAAGGCATTTATTCTTCAGTAGAGTTGGTATTATTGTTTGTTCAGTTATTTGCTTATCTTGCGTGCATCATGTTTGTGGTTTTATGAGTAATTGTTGATGGAGACCAAATCTTGGTCTGAATTGTGTATAAGTGATGGTGTAAAATTGGCTGTAAATTTTTGATTGCCTTAGCAGGTATGTTTATTCCCGAGGAAGTGGGAGGGGGAACACGCCTTGTACACATGGATTAAATTTCAGGGCGATTCAGCTGGAATTGGCTAAAATTGGATCCGTGGGTCAAAAGTAGATCATTAGATAGGACATGCTGGAAACTTGTCGGCCAAACAGTGCTTGTAACCAATCAACTGCAAGCACTGTTCCAGTATTCTGACAGTAGTGGGTGCTTTTGCTAAATGATGTCGCTCTTTTCACTCTCAGAAAGTTGTTATTTATGACATTAGATCCTGGCCTGAACCAGGCAATGATCAAATGTTTGTATTAAACATTTAACCCCACAAAAAAAATAGTTTCATTTTGTATCTCCCTTTTAGATTGTAAGCCCTCAGGGGCTGGGCCCTCCTTACCATCTTGTCTTGTATGGTATTGTAATTGTAATGTCTTCCTTATATTGTAAAGCGCTGCGCAAACTATTGGCGCTGTATAAATCCTGAATAATACTAATAGTATCAATTCGGAATTTTAGAATTGCTTTCGTTTTTCGGATTTTGGACCTGAAAATTAAATTTGGATCGTTATTCGAATTTCGGATCCGTGCAAATTTTCGTTTTGGAACAAAGCCAGTAATGCCACCCCCAACAGCCAAAAAAAATCTGATTGGCCAGATAACGGTCATATGTGGGATCTCTTTTTTCGTTAAACGAACATTCGGATTTGTTCACATTCAGACACTCTAAAATTTAGAATGTCATAATTTTACGAAATTCATACGAATATCCATTTAGAAGGAGAGTAAGTTTACATGTCTAGTCTGTATGTACCCCATGGCCTGCCCAGCATTCCCCTATTGTTCTTGTTTTCCTGAGATACGGCATCTGGGCAGGGGGGATGGCACATCAAGAGCACATTAAGCTTGTTTCAGCAAGAAAAGGTCTTTAGGTGAGCAAATTGCTTGCATTCCTAAGTCAAACATCATCTGATGTCTCCAGATAGCTTAACATCAGTTCAAAGTGATCTTCACTGAACAAGGCTGAAAGCTAAGTAGCAAAGCTAGACACATGTATATACTTAGGACCCCTATTAAAAGGCAGCAGCATGGCCCTACTCTAAATGGCCATACTGCATATTTAATGTGCTTTATAAATGGGCATATTATTTTTTTTCTTCCACATGGCGCTCCACTTGTTTTGGAACTCTTCAGCAAGCAGAGCCACTGCCCAAATTATTGGAATAAAAAAAAAAAAATCAGGAGGAGAGGATGGTCATGTAATCTACCAAAGTCAGCATTGATCCATTTTATGAATGGAACCTACAATGAAGGATATGGTGTGCAGTAACAATGCAGTGTCCAGCCGAAAGCGGATATCCCCATCTGCTCTAAATAACCCCCTTAGCTTTCCACAGCATAACCTTTTCTCCGATATTAGTGAACCTATCAGTATTTCTTTGGAGGCATATTATTATTATACAGGATTTATATAACACCAACAATTTGCGCAGCGCTTTACAATATAAGTTTAGCATTACAATACAATTCAAGACAAGATGGTAAGGAGGACCCTGCTCATGAGAGCTTACAATCTAAAAGGGTTGAATAAATAAAGCAGTAGAACACGTTCACTTTGCAAGGGAATTTTCACTTAGCTAAATGAATGTGGTGGAGCTGTGCTGACCTTAATCATCCAATCATGTGCAAGCAAAATTCCTATTTTTTTTCCCCATTTTCCATATACGTGATTGGGTATTCTTGACAAAGTGAATTTTCACCATATTCACTAAGTGAAAATTCCCTTTTAAAGTGAAAATTCCCTTGCAAGGTAAACATGCTTTACTGCTTTAGTAAATCAGCATCATAAAGTGAATATACAAACCACATGCTATGGTAGTCAACCGTGGCATCTACACTGTGAACAGCAACTGTGGGGAAAACAGGATATCTGTTAAATCATATCCTCAGGGGCTGTAGGGAAATACCTGCATATAGACTAGTACATAACAGCTTATAGTCAACAGGAAACATGATGCTTATCTGCTCTTGCAAAATGTATGAACAAATACAGAAAAAAATGAGCATGTACTGAAGATCTTCTTGTGCAATACCTAATTTTTTCTTATATTTTATTTTCTGGCTATTTTTCAAATGGTTAGCAACATTTGCAATGATCAATGTACAGAACCATGTGAACATTCATCAATCATCATTCACTGCTTATTTAAGGATACAGCCTTGGCTTTGTAGATTGGATTGCACGTTTACATACATTAGTGAACGCTAACAAGCGGAACAATAGTTAATACATGCAGGTAAAGATTGACAATAGCTTCTAAACTAAGAAGTAAGAAGCACAGCATGTGTTTGGCACAGTAGTCTTTGTATTCAGCTTGTCTCACCCAGGACATTAGGGGTTTATCTGTTCTTTATATTTACTGTCTGATAAAAGTAATCTAATACCCACCATAGTACTTTAAATATAAGATTATTATGGGTGATAATACCACTTTACTGAATGTCCTGGGAGTTAGGAAGTCCACTCTATGCAACACACTTTTTCATAAACAGTTTTACTGAACCGTTTGTGACTCAACAAATTCTGAATTGTGTTAATGTTTGGTTATGCAAAAAGTACCCAATAACAAATGAATTAGTCCATACATTGATTGTGCAACTGTTATCCAATAACAGAAATAAGTAAGCTTAACACAGACGTCAGCTTGGACAGACTGTACTGAATCGTCTACTCAGGACAACTGCCATAGGACAAGTAGAACACTGAAGAGGCAACAATGAACATTGGCGGGATTCTCCTTTTAGCTTCCGTACTTCAGCTGTCACAGTCAGCAAAGGACTCGCTAGTGACGGTGAAAAATAATGGATATGAAGACATGATTTTTGCAATAAACCCGAAGATTCCTGAAAATGAAAAAATCATTGAAAATATAAAGGTATGTACTTTACCTTCTTTATAATGCACAGTAATTATACACATGGCTGGACATGGAGTAAATAGCAACACCGGCATTTGAGCTATTGCCATGCTGGGTGCAGTAATCATTATACAACATTATGATTGTCAGTTTTCTTCCACTCTGGAGCTCAAGAATTGGGATGTAGTTTGACTTTACCAGTGCTAAATAAGGCTCAGAAGCCCATAGGAACTCTTACCAACCAACCAACAAAACTACATCATAACTGCCAGATGTGCAACCCTCATAAACATATAATTATTTTATATTAGATCTAAGATATAATGAGTAGATACAAAAATAGTATATATCCAGCTGACTTATACCTCCTAGCTGTCTCCTTTTTTGAGTCAAAGTGTTAATTCAAGGATTCTCAGTCAGATGAAGCCAAGTGCGTTCCCTGGAATATGGAACTGATGGTTGAGCGGGGAGGGTTTTGGGGACCTTGGATGCAAGGATTGTTTGACCTCATTTTAATAAACCACTTGGATGTATGCAAGGTGCCATTGATTACACATTGCTGTCTGTTATAAGTACCTTTTAGCAATCCTTAGGAATTTGAGCCGATTCATGGTAATTCGAATATATCCTGTAAGTATGGATATTATTTTGGAGATCAGTTAGGTTCTGTATTTTATTTTTTAGGGGAATTACCTTAGTGATCTGACTGGAATCTACAGGCATAGTCTTATGTTTGGCTTCAGTTTTCTTTGTCTCCCTTTCCATAAAGCGACCCATGGCTAACTGGATCACATTACTCTATCTGCATCCTGCTATCTTTGTATGCTGAAAGCACAGGGAAAGATAAACACAACCCCCATGGACAACACAGTATTGAAGTTGTATCAAATTATTTATCTTGTATGGGTCAGTTTACTTGTGAACAATCATTCCACTTCTCATAGTGATCATTGATCCATTTTAATATACCAACTGAGCTGCTGATCAACTTGGTGGCAACTAAGTTATGACTGAGAATAAACAACATAGGATTAATGTTTTATGTATTTATGTCAATAAACACTTTGTACTTACAGTATCATAATATTGCTTTGTGCTTGGTGTGTTTTCAGAAAATGGTGAATGATGCATCTACCTACATGTTACAAGCTACAGAGAACAGATTGTATATTAGAACATATAAGATTTTAATTCCAAATACCTGGACAAGCAAGAGCACCTACGGCAGGCCTAAAAGAGAGTCATATGACAAGGTAAGTTTAGAGACATCATGATAAGTTGATTATACTTTTGGCCTTCGAAAAACATAAGAACATGACTCGACAACAGTTAGTCATACACACGAACATCCCAACTCTCCCGGACGTTCCTGGAGTCTCCCCCAGCTATCCGGGAAGAAACATTTTCTCCCGGAAAGGTTTACTCTGCTATATCCAGCAGAGTAAACCTTTTCCTGACATCGGGGCCACAGGCCGCCATCAGTCAGAGAAAAAAAAAAAAAAAAACCCCCAGCATAGGAATGCATAGCTATATTGCTATTGGCTGTTTCACGTTGCAATAGCCAATAGCAGACTAGCTATTGCACACGCCCACTGCTGCTGTCAATCAGCAGAGGAAGACCTGAAGTTCTCCATCTAGTGATTGACAGCAGCAGATGGCGGGTGCAATAGCTAGCTTGCTATTGGATATTACAAATTGAAATAGCCAATAACAATCTAGCTATTCATTCCTATGCTCTTTTGTTTTTTGTTTGTTTCTGACGGCAGCAGCTGTTGAGCCCGGTTCTGAAAGACCAAGTTGCATCTAAAGCTTTAGACCCTTCTTAATGTATAGAACAGGTGAAAGCAACTAGTATGCTGAAATATATACAATTAGATGTTTATTATTTAGAATGACAAGTTTGTCAGAAGAGGGATTGCCTTTAAACTGGAACTATGTTAAAGGCAAAGTTCACCTTTCTGACCATGATTCATGTTACACCCATATTCTGGGTGTAACATGAAACCTGGACAGATGGCAAAGCTCTGCCCAACTCAGCCACCGAGGCAGAGGGGCCTGTAGTTTGAAATGGAATACAAATGTGGTGAGGTCAGCGCACTTGTAGTCCATTCATTTATCTTTATGTTCCTGTTAGTAAATATGTGTACCTCAGTACAAACAGGGACGGGAGCCAGAGCATTGCATCTGCAATCCACTGATGCACTGCAATGCTTTACTGGCTCAGAGGCAAAACAAAAAAATGAAAAATGCACATTTGTTTCTTATATGAAGAAGTGTGACTTTTTCATTTTTGTTTGAAAAAAGTTGCAATTTCCCTTTAAACCACCATACTGATCCCCACACTGTTCAGCAGGCACTTTTCGGTGCCCATAACTTACTGCCCCTGTTTACATCCCCTGCTCAGATCACTGCTAAAGATCTGCACACAAATGGAATTTCCCCAAAATTAACTCCTGAACTCTGCTATGCACACCGCCCTTGTGCCACATGTGAAAGACTAAGGTCTGGCTGCTCAGGCATCGAGTGCCATATTATAGGAGGGCAGGGGAGCATGCATAGGTGTTACATACTTGAATGCCTTGCATTTTTAGCAGAGCAGCAAACAGGAGTAGTGAGTAAAGGCACCAGAGCATGCCCACTGTATACTGGGTGGAATGGGTTGTTCATGTACAACTGGGAGTTGAGGTGGAGATTTGCAAGGGGCCCTACAATATTTTGTCATAAGAGTACATCTTATATAGCTTTATTCTTGGTATGAAGACATATTAGAGACCAAAGGACGGGTCAGTAATAGTAACAACAGAAGTAAATGATCAGTTAAATTTTATATTAAGACTATGTAATGTAAGTTCCAAATATATGAAGTACTGATTAATACTTTTATACCAAACAAGTAGTTTCTGCTATTATAATTTTTCTCCTTTTCTTCTATAGGCTGATATTATCATAGCTGATCCTTTTACTAAAGGCGATTTTCCATACACCTTGCAATATGGTGGTTGTGGGGTACCGGGAAAATACATACACCTCACACCCAATTTCATTCTAAATGACAAAGTGCTGCCAATATTTGGTCCCAGAGGTAAAGTACTCTCTATGGATATGCACAGTTAAAATGAATGTGTATAAATGTATGTTAATGTTTTAAAAATCTTGTTTCTGTTGATTGTGTGTTTAGATGAAGCACTGAGATTTTGAGGAATGCTGATTTAAGTTTTACTTGCTTAGAAGAAGATTACATTTGTGTATACAGCATCATGCAGGAAACATATAGATCATAGATAAACATGCATACAGAAAAAATGGCATAAACTAGCTTGGCACTACATCACCATCTAGTGCTCAAAAGACATAGTTACATCTCAATATGCTGTTCCATTTTCAACAGTTTCTGTATTAAATTTGTTATTATATATGCAAATGGAGACTTCCATATTTGTTTGTCACATACTCAGCCAATGCTTAATTCTTTGCAGTCCTACACTTAGGTTATATATTATGGTTGCTGCTAAAAATGCAAGTCTATGGCGAAGATTTACTGTAGGCTTTTCACTTAGAATAGGAAATGTTCATTGGGCCCAGTAACTAAGGATTTAGCTTAAATCATCTATTTATGGGCAAGAAACAAATCTTTTTGTTTTCTTTGTACATGAATGAGTATTCACTTTATTTACAAAGCTCAGGGAACATTCATTTTGAACCGTGAACAGTCTCTGTTCCTTTAGTAAATTTGCTCCTATTGATTTAATACAATGCACTTCCTGCAATGCATTCAGGTACCTTTTACCTAACAAAAATGTTAAAAATGACCCTCAAATCATCTCTGAATTGGTGCTGATACTGTCCTTCCTTCTGGAGGGTGGCTACTTTTATTCCCCATGGCCCCTGTGTGTTGTGAAGTAGCCACAGCTCCAAGATCACTCATGTGATCGACTATAATTTTAATACAAATTAGAATACTAAAGAGACTACAGAAAACTACAGATTAATGTAGACATGGTAACAAAATACCATGTCTACATTATGCTAAGAGAATGTATGTGAAGGTTCTCATTCATTCAGGTCATGGTATATCTGTAAAAAAAATAAATCAAGGCCAAGGCAACTGGACTTGCTGTATTTTTCTTGAAGACATTTCGCTGGTCATCCGACTAACTTTCTGAATAATCAATGCACCCCCCTCCCTGCCAAACCCCCACCCTCCAATGGACCTGCTGTCTGCATACAAGTGATCTCTGTGGCATCGCTGAAATCACCTGTACAAAACAAGTGGCGGCTTCCCCGCTATACATTTAGTTCTGCTTGCCAGAAGCAGGGCTAAATGTAGAAAACAAAACTTCCCTGCCCTGTGCCCAGAACGGCATGTCCCAGGCATTGGGCGATAGGGATTCCACACCCCTGCAGCCCCTCTACTCCCTGCTGCCCCGAGGGCAGGCCTGGGTGGCCTTGCGGGAAATCCGTCCCTGCTTGTAAGTATACCAAATGTAAACAATCAAACAATATAATCTTAGATATCCACCGATGGATTACTGTATATGAATTCACTCATTTATATCCATATAGTTATATCAATACATGACAATCAGTCCTATGGGCAGCATGTGACAGCACATGTGCAGCTTTTACTCATTAGGCCCTAATGAAAAGCCATGTTCCCAACAGTCTTGCAAGTAGACAGTTTCTTCATACTGAAATTTTTGGGGAATATTAGTAATAGCAGTAATTACATTTTATGCTGTATTTTAGGGAAGTGCATTAGACAGCAGGATTATAGAGAGAACAGTAAATTAACTGATTAATAACTAAATGCAATGCTGCTTTATTGTTAAATGAAGACAGCCACAAACATTTCCTTGTGTTATGTTTTCCTGCAGGGAGAGTATTAGTCCATGAATGGGCCCACTTGAGATGGGGTGTTTTTGATGAATACAGCACTACTGTTCCATGGTATCCCAGTAATACAGGCAAAATTGAAGCAACCAGGTAAATCTTTGTTATACTTAATGAAAAACTAAAATAGTGGTATCAATTTATTTGTTTCTGTTTATACAATTTAAAATAGATTTGTATTATTTTTATTAATAACATTTTAAGCCCAACTCTGGGCAGAGAAAAAAAGCTATCCTTGCAGTGGGTCTACTACAAGGCTTAAGTGTTTTTACTTACCTGATACCGGCTTCCGTGGCGGTCAGCACCTGCTTCTCTCCCCTCTCCTTTGGATATTGGACTGTCCCTCCGCATCCTCATATCTAATAGATGTGATGAGGTCAGTGGTCCTTAGACCATCAGAGCAAACGTGAGAAGATGCTGCAGGGGGTGGCCTGGCAGCCTGGATGCAGATGGTGTAAGCAGGAATCAGATAAATTAAACAGTTTTAATAGTGTCCCCTAGACATAAACAAGCATTTAACCTTTGCAGTGCAGAGTAGCCCCACTGCACGGGTACGTTTTTTTTGTTTGCTCAGAGATGGACTTTAACATATCACCCATGAGACTGAATTTAAAGAATATATCTCTTCTTCTTCTTTCTCTCTCTCTTGCTGGGGTTAATTTACTAAAAGCAAATGGGCTGTCGAGTTTGCAAGGGAATTTTCTCTTTAGGTTATTGATTGAGGTGACTCTCTGCTGACTTCCATCATGCAATCATGTACAAGCAACAATACTGTTCTTTTTATTTTCCTTGTAAGTGATTCGATTTTGTTTTGCGTGGTGAATTTTCACCTCATTCACTAAATTATTTTGCAAAGGGAACAGACTATTTGACTTTAGTAAATGATTCCCTGTGTCACTTTGATTGTCATTCTACATAGTTTGACAATTATTTTTTTTAGGAATTAGTCTCTGTCTTACAGAAAGGGCGGTTTTTGGTTAATTTTGGCCTTATTCCAAGGTTCAGTAACATATAGCTTTTAGCTTAGCTGCTATGGGCACCTTAACCAAGGAACTTACACTTAAAGGGTATGCCTGCAAGGGATGCGCCGATAACGATAATAGTTTAGATATCTGTGCTGATACCAAATATTTGGGCAAGTAGTAGTACTCGCCCAAATGCTCCCGATGTTTATCCCAATACTGGAACTTCCAGTATCAGGAAGCTGGACCACGAGTCATAACGCGTCGCCCAGCATCCTGATTGTCCGTGAAGCCGACTCTATGCTACCTCATCACTAGGGAGCATGGAGCTGGCTTCCCGGACAATCAGGAAGCCAGGCAGCGAGTCATTACCCACCCCCCGGCTTCCTGGCAGTTCAGGAAGCTGGGCGGCGAGTCATTACACTTCCGGTATCAGTATTTGGTGTTGGGAAATACCAGAAAAAAAATATCAGTACTCGTACTCGATACCGAAAAAACGGTATTGGTGCATCCCTAATATCTGCAATCCATGCACATTTCCCCATGTTTGTCTCTTTAAAAATGTTTCTGCTGAAATTCAGTGAGCTCATAGCTTTTTGTGTCTGTGTTGCACTGAAATCTCAAGCAGTGTTGTCAACCCTTCCTGGTTAAAATCTGGGCAAGTTAGGGAAAGGAGGAAAAGGGAGGTGTTCTGTGGTCCAAATAAGGGGCAAGCATCCATAGTGACAACACTGGATAGATACAGTGCAGTGTGTGACAGGAAATCTGTGACTGGCTAGGTCGCCAGGCAAAAATAAAAAAGAAAAGCCTTAAAGGAGTTCAAAATATTCCGCGGTCAACTGGTGTTTTATAACAAAGTGGGAGGAACTGGGAACAACAGCAACTCAGCCGCGAAGGGGTAGGCCATGTAAAATGACCGAGCGGGGTCAGCGCATACTGAAGTGCACAGTTTGCAGAAGTCGCCAACTGTTTGCAGAGTCAATAGCTACAGACCTCCAAACCTCGTGTGGCCTTCAGATTGGCACAACAACAGTGCGTAGAGAGCTTCATGGAATGGGTTTCCATGGCTGAGCAACTGCATCCAAGCTTTTCATCACCAAGTGCAATGCAAAGCGTTGGATGCAGTGGTGTAAAGCACGCCGCCACTGGACTCTAGGGAAGTGGAGACGTGTTCTCTGGAGTGACGAATCACGCTTCTATGTCTGGTAATCCGATGGACATGTCTGGGTTTGGCGGTTGCCAGGAGAACGGTACTTGCCTGACTGCATTGTGCCAAGTATAAAGTTTGGTGGAGGGGGGATTATGGTGTGGGGTTGTTTTTCACGGGTTGGGCTTGGCCCCTTAGTTTCATTGAAGGGAACTCTTAAGGCATCAGCATACCAAGACATTTAGGACAATTTCATGCTCTCAACTTTGTGGGAACAGTTTGGGGATGGCCCCTTCCTGTTCCAACATGACTGCGCGCCAGTGCACAAAGTAAGGTCCATAAAAACATGGATGAGCGAGTTTGGGGTGGAGGAACTTGACTGGCTGGCACAGAGTCCTGACCTCAACCCGATAAAACACCTTTGGGATGAATTAGAGTGGAGACTGCGAGCCAGGCCTTCTCGTCCAACATCGGCAGGGCAGCCATCATAAATTTTGGGGCCCCTTACACAGCTTTAGGCCTGCTGAGGATTTCGGTGGGCCTTTTGGTGGAAATGTCAAAGGTCTTCCTCCGGTCCAGGCTGTGATTTGCAGTCTCTCTACAGCTTGGAGTCAGTGGTGGAGCGCCAGGGCCTGGTTGCTGCTGTGAGTCTGGTAGAACTGCCACTGACTCCAAGTTGTAGAGAGTGACTACCAATCTCAGCAATACATTAAACAGCAATGCAGAATACTATGAAGCTACATACCCTGTGGTATTCCTCCGGGTTTATTGTCTGATGTCTCCAGGGTCTCAGGAGGGTTTTGCAGGGTTTCAGGGGGGAGTGTGCGGGCTCTCTGGTAGCCAGTGCGGGCTCTCAAGCAGTGTTCATTTCGTCGGCGAAAGTGTTTTGCCCGTTTTTCAGTGATAAACACTAAGGGGTCTATTCACTATGCTGCCGAGGGCAGCCGAGTGAATGACCGATCAGAAGTGAAGTGAGCCTGCTTCGTGTGGCTTCAGGTCAGCCGAACATGCTCAGCATGTTCGGCCGACCCGAAGTGCAGAAGGAGTTCGACTCAGCCGATCCAACATCTGGATCGGCT